TTGTTATGATTGGGGTCGTGATATAACCATCACACATAAGTGCTCACTCTATACATCTCGGTAGTTTGAGTGACTTTACCCGATTTGGCTTTCTCAAATCCAAATGGGTGTTCATACAATACAAGTGAAATTGGCTCAAGTTGGGTATTACTATCTCTAGGTTTAACCCTTTAATTGAGGCAATCAATCTCTCGAGTTCACCCGAATTCCTTGTTAGCCTAATATTTCTAGACTTAGTCCCTCTTTCTCAAGAAGAGCCTAAGTCATAAAGGCATGAGTCAGTGTTTGCAACCACTAATTCTACAATTTTAGCATGAATTAGGCTAAATATCACTAACCCATAAATAATTAATCCCTAAAATTTAAGACTCATTAAATACCCATAATAGGGTTGGGTCACAACCCTAGCTATGGGGTCTAGCTACTCATCATAATAGCAGAAATCAAAGATAAAGATGAAATATAAGCCATAATATTAAAGTTCAAAATGAAAATCTAAAGTTTGAAGGTAAATCTACTCTAAAATTTCCAAAAAGGGGAAAAACCAGTCGTTCACGTGCTCTGCTAAAAAACACTTAACCTAAAAATGTCAAAAAGGGTCTATTTATACACAGCTAAAATTTCCGGACAAAAATGACCCTGCGGAGGATTCGCGGACGCGTACTTATGACCGCATCCGTGCTTGAGCTTTCGCGGTCCGCGTTTCTTCAATATTGGGCTTAGTTTCGCGGACCGCATAATTTCAACCGCGTCCGCGTGTGCTTCCATTGCGGCCGCATAATTTGGACGCGGATCGCGTTCTTCAGTTAAGCCCGACTTGCAGGGTCTCTGAACCTCAAGATGCGCTCTCAGCGGAATTCCCTTCGCGTCCGCGTAATTTGGACGCGGGCTGCGTTCTTCATTTGAGCCCAAACTGTAGAGTCTCTGAACCTCGAACCACGCTATCAGCGAAAATCCTCTCGCAGCCGCGCTCTTCCAATGCCGTCAACGGTGATTTTAGTACTAAAAGCAGCTTCTCTAAATCTACTTTCGCTGACCGCGTAATAGTGGCCACCTCAGCGATGGTCCTTATGCGGCCGCCCTTTTCTGCTGCTCTCAGCGCTCCAGTCTCAGCCTTGGATTCGTGCAAGTTTGACTCCTTCATGAGTTGATTATGGCTTCTTTGCCTCATTTTGACCAAACCCTACAAGAAAGCACATTAAGTTAGTTTTCGGGAATACCTTTACGTATTTTTGACCCAAAACCTAAGCAAAAGAGAGCAAATAATAGGCTAAAACCTCTAGTTATCAGAATCCACCTCCAAACCACTCGTATCTATTCAAAAACGACTCAATGATATCAAATATTGCTAAAAAAATCAATTACATTGTATAAATTTAGATTTTCCAAATCCAAAACATCCCGTAGCCTATTTGAAACTCACCTGAGCCCTCGGGGCTCCAAACCAAACATGCACACAAGTCTAAAAATATCATACGAACTTGTTTGCACGATCAAATCGCCAAAATAACACCTAGAACTATGAATTTAGCACCAAATCCCATAAAATTTTCAAGAAAGCTTTAAAATTCCTATATTTACAACCGGACGTCCGAATCACGTCAAACCGACTCAGTTTCTCACCAGATTTCACAAATAAGTCATAAATATTATATTGGACCTATACCGGGATCCAGAACTAAAATACGGACCCGGTATCAATAAGGCCAAACATCAACCAATTCTTAAAAACCATTAAACTTTTAGACTTTTAATTTTCATCAAAAATTCATAAATCGAGCTAGGGACCTCCGAATTCGATTCCGGGCATACGCTCACGTCCCATATTTCGATATGAACCCACTGGGACTGTCAAAATACGGATCTGGGCCCGTTTACCAAAAATATTGACCGAAGTCAACTCAATTGATATTTTTAGGCAAAAATTTTTATTTTTATCAGTTTTTAACATATAAGCCTTCCGGGTCTATACTCGGACTGTGCACGCAAATCGAGAAAGGTAAAAATAAGTTTTTTAAGGCTTAAGAGTGCAGAATCGAGTTCTAAACATAAGATGATATTTTTGGGTCATCACGTGTTGTCATATTCACTATTCTCTTCCTGACTCTGCGCATCTGCTAGATCCCGATTAAATATGTCGTCTTCAGGCAATTGAATAAGGACAGGACCTTCAAGTTGCTCGTTTTCACTACACAACCAATAAAATAATGAGTTACTCAAATTGATCCAAACTTTACATATAGCTTTATCACTTCACTTACAAATCATAATGTGTTGATATCTCATGATGGGCATTATCCTGTTGATGATGACTCCCTGATGGACCACCATGATCCAACACACCAAAACTAGTAAAATTCATATCTGGCAGGTACCCCCTTGTGGAATATATGAGTGTTAATACAAATTCAATACATAAAAATAAACATCGTAACACAAAGAAAAATTGAAGTTTACCACTCGGCTTGTGGATTATGTAAACTAGGTGAGAAATTATTTCCTCACTCCTCATTCGCCCGTGGAGATAAGTTTAGATCAGGCCAAACTCTTTCACCTGGAACCTGTTCGGCTAAAACTACTCCAAAATAACCACCCGATGATTGAGGGATATCCCTACTTTGCGCAACCTCATTATTGTGAACGTCTTCAGCCTTGACGTACATTTCCAACAGTTTTATCACAAGAAATTCCCGGTATTCATCTGAAGTCCTCAAAAAATCTCTCAGAGTTTCATCGTATTCAATGTTAAACTCAGCATAACAAGAAACCTCTTGCGGAGTCACGGAATACGGATATCTTCCGGTTATTTTAATACTCATCGAACGTTTGCTCACACTCATTTTTTTTACATAATAACGATACCAATGTATCGTACTCCATTGTAAGTGGCAACTTAACATGACACTGTGGAGATAAACTATAGCTTACTGAGTTATTCATCACCACAACCTCACCCCCTAATATAATGAAACCATAATTCTTCGCTCTTCAAACATTATGACAAATGCAAAATAACTTAACGAAGAAATATTTCAGGAGACTTGAAAATATTTATGAATGGATTTTTACAAAATCCTTAACCTCTTTAAATAAGGCAAAAACCAGTATGGGGGTACAATTATTTGAGGTATAGCGCCTTAAATATGGGCGCTATATCCAGTTAAATTATTGTTATGTCAGTTAAGCCCAGAAGAATTATTGGTGGGCCCACATAATATATATAGCGTTGTACATTAGGGCTTTATATATGTATAATAGTGTATATGAGTGTATAAACATATCTTATACAATATTATACACTTTTATACACCTTTATACAAGCGTCTGTAGACGAACTTCTTCCATGATTTTCAGTTACAATTCTTGTTCAAAATAAGTCCAAATCTCCATTAAATGACTTCAAATTTTATATACAACCTTCTTATACTATTTCTAACAAGTCTAAATAACACCCACTCCAAATTTCTCATAAAATCAAATTCGAAATTTAAAATTAAAAATCTAATTTTTGCCATCCAAATAGATTTAGTTTGTTGAACTAATATTTGAGTTGCAGATACTGATTCGAAAATTAATTTAAAACCTTGAGCAATCTTTTTTTTAAATTAAATAGTAATTTTGAGAACCTATTGGAGTTGGATGTTGAATCTTAGCCTATTATTTTTGGGCTAGTTGGTTATAAATTGAAATGTGGGCTATAAAATTAAAAAGTAGGGACCCAAGTTGTTCTTATGTGAAATTTTTCCTTTTTTTTCATACATTTTGATTATTTGAGTCCAAAAAAATCACATTTTAATTTCGGATTCATAAAACTATTGTTGGATGAGTCTCGCCCAAAATAAAACTTCTCATCTAATCCCAAAACATTCCAAATGCATTAATATCTTGTATCGCCCCCCTCGTCCGCTTCACATTATCATAAAGGAGAGACGTGGTCATTTAACCAGATGATGACTGATGACTCCCACCCACTCATTCCTTCAATCATAACACCCCCCCC